TTGCTTTGTTTTTGCATTTTTTTTGCATTTTTCCTACATTTTTTGCACATTTTCCTTCTATCTGTTTTGCTTTGTTTTTGCATTTTTTTTGCTTTTTTCCTGCATTTTTTGCACATTTTTGTGTTTTTACAACTTTGGGCCATTTTTTCCTTTTTTGGACTCATTTCCTGCCTTTTTTCGACCCATTTTTTTGCATTCAAATCGCATTTTGGATTGCACCCTGTTTGCATTTATTTTGCATTTAAAACCCAATTGAATTATTTCCACGATTTAGCTGATAGGAGCCGGGCACAACGATAGTCTCCCTGCTTTGCGTTTGCAGCAAGCTGTGGTGTCTTGCTTTGCTGGTGGCTGGCTCGCTCAGACTCCTTTGCAGCGAGGTCTTCTTACTTTGCAGGAGCCTCCTGTGGTGCTTCCCCCGAGCCCTAGGGACTTTGCTTTGTACTTGGACTTGTCCGAGGTGCATTGGCTTCTACGCTTCGACTCTGGACCGCGCTCGGCTGAGGACTCTGAGGCCTCTCCTTTGCCAGCCAAGGTTGCTTTGCCGGAGCCGTCTGCCTCTGCGTCGGACCAGCCCTCTGCTGTGAAAGCTTTGCCGGTTACTTTGTCTGCTCCGGACCCCGGCGAGGTTTCCGAAGCAGAGTCTGAGGACCTTGGCCAGCCCGACGAGATCAGTTTGATTTCTACTTTGCAGGGCAAGATTCTCCACTTGAATGTGGCGGGCCCGGGGTGTCCGCCTCGTCCTGCTTGCGGTTGTTTTGCGAAAGGCTGGAAGCACGTTCTCGAGCCTGCTTCTACTTTGCAATTCTGCCGGCACCCTGCTTGCAACAAGGCCGTGTGGTACGACTGAGCCCAACTTTGCTCGCCTGTACCTTACTTTGAGGAGCTTTGCTTTTGGGGACCGCTTGTCTCCTTAGCACTGTTCCTTTGCTTTGCGCGGGGCTTCGGGACGCGTCTCCCTGGCCGGGCTCGCTTAGCCAATTTTCGCTTTGCTTTCCCCGAGGGGGTCACAGATTTTTCGCTTGGTGTGAAAATTTTACGCTTTGGGCGAACTTTTGCTTTGCCCTTGCCGCTCCTTTGCCGTGAGCTTTCAGATGCATCTGCACATGTTTCAGGTCATTCACTTGGTCATTTGGCTATTCCCGCTGCTTTGGCTTATTTTGTAGATCGTGTCCTTTGCCTATGCCGCGGTACTTCGGATCTCATCTGCATTTCCTGTCGCTTTACTTTGCGCACAAGATGCACGCCGAGCAGTTCAAGGCCATCATCAGGAGGATGGTTCGGAAGTCTATGGGACGTTGCTGTGGGTGCCGGAGGAGGGCAGACTTGCTTTGCTTGACTGCCTGACCGCCAGCCTCGAAAGCCCTCCTTTGACTCCTCGTTCTGCTGCTGGCGCTGATGGTGATGCACCTGGGAGCTCTTCTACTTTGCCGGCGAAGGACGATGGCCCCTCTACTTTGCCGGCTGCGGATCCTGCTCCTTCTGTGGACCCTGGCACTTTACCGCACTTTGGCAAGGATGCTGCATCGGCCACGGACGATTCTACTTTGCATCCCCCCTCTGGGGCGGACACTGGCGCGACCACCCAAGATGCGGCCGATCCTCCTTTGCAGGATCCTTTGCTGTCGGAAGGGGGCAACCCCTGTCCGGCCCACTTGCAGCGCTACCACAACCACATGGGCTTCACCTACGACGAGTGGTACTCGTACTGGCATCGCAACGGCTGGTGGGATTCGATGAAGGTGCCTCCGGGCGCCGATCCTTTGCAGTCGTCTTCCTCTGCGCCGGCTTCGTCTTCTACTTTGCCGCAAGCCAGCTCGAGCGCTGCCAGTGCGGGCCCTGCTTCTACTTTGGACCCTCCTTTGGACACATCTGCGGGGGTTGCTGGTGACGCGCAGGGTGGTGCCCCTGCTTCGTCTCCTTTGCAGCCCGAGGCCACTGGGGACAAGCCCGGGGTTTCCTTTGACTCTTGCTTTGACGACATGCCCGCGGGTGTCTACGAGAAGCTTGGGCCCTACCAGGTGCGTCGGATAATGCGAGTGGAATGCCAAGAAGAGTGCGAGGAGTGTGCCAGTGGGCATTGCGGTGCCATTCTTGATGTGTCTCGCCCTGAGAAATGCGTGCACAAGCACCGCTGTAAGCAGGGTTATCGCATATTTCGTGCGAAACAACTGCAGTGAGGGGGTGGCGAGTTCTCCTTTGCAGTGCTTTTCTTAGCTTTTCCTTGCAAAGTTCATACTTTGCTTTTGCTTTTGGGGATCTCGCCCCCCCTCGCTCTCCTTTGGCTTTGCTTTGGAGAGCAATGCCCACTGGCACATGCTTTGCAGGGCCTTTGCAGCAGCAGGTGAGGACTTTTCTTTGCAGTGCTTTACTTTTGGCAGCACCTTACCAGCATATAGCTTTGCTTTTTCTAGCCTTTTGAAGGCCTCGCTTGCCTCGGCCGCTGTAGTGCCGATCTTCCTTTGCATCAGCCACCCTTTCTGCACAAGCCGTTGGTGGCGGCGTCACAGCACTGCTTTCGCCGGTGCAAAAGTGCATGTCCCGCGCGTGGCTGCACATTGCTTTGGCCTCGCTTAGGCAGCTCGGAGTGAACTCTCCAGTCAGCTTGCTTGAACTGCTTTGCTCGCTCGCTTGGCCCACAGCTCGCTCAGCTCACGGGTGGCATTTTGCTTTGGGGGCAATCCCTTGCACATTTCGCTTTCAGCTTCTAGCTCCCGTTGTGGGACTTAGCCCGGGTGGCTCGCTTCCGCTTGGTCATGACCGACTCGGAGGCCGCTTGCCGTTCCGAGTGTCATGCTTGCTTGCTTGCTTTTCTTTTCTTTGCTGCTTCCTTTGCCCTGTCAGGACAACGAGCTCCTCGCCTCCTTCAAGGTCCCGGACTTACTGGTGCAAGCTTTGAAAGAAGAAGGTTGGGATGTGCCCTCCTTTGCCATGTCTGCCACTTCGGTGGCGGAAGTTGACGGTGCTCTTTCGGAGCTCGTCCCGGACTCTAGCTTCACTTTGCAAGAGAGAGCTAATTCTCGTTTGCTTTGGCAGCGCTGTCACGCGATGACTTGTGGAGCTGCTTTTGCTTTGCCGGAGCCTCCGGCCGATCCGGCTTCTCTCTCAGCTCGGGAGCCGGCCTCGTCTTGGGCGAGCCCGTTTCCTCCCAAAGTTGCTGCAGACACTTTGCAATCCCTCAAGAAAGAGTTCTTGAAGTCCTATACCTCTGAAGTTTTGGACCCGGACACCTTGCCCTCTCCCCGCCTTTTGGCTCTGGTGAAGGCCAACGTCGATGCTCTTCCTTTGCGATCAGGCTGGCGTTGGGTGGCTTGGAAGTTTCGACTTTCACAGAGGGCCCACGACGAGAAGGACAGTGTTGCTTTGAACTCCAGGCCGCGGAAGATTGCTAAACTCGACCTTTCAGATTTGCTGCTGGACGATATACCTCTTCGGGAGATACCGTCGTCGGGCCAGCTGGGGAATTACCAGTTGTCGCAAATTCTTTCTTTGCATTCTGTGGCAGTCGCGGTTTGCAAAGGCTGTCACCTCAGTACCCTTCGTGCCTATGAGCGGGCTTTCTTGGAGCTCGCGACCAAGCGTTATCCTGCTGAGTTGAATTTGTGCAGCCCTGCTGCACAGGAGCTCGAGCATGCCGACCGCATGCTTTGGCAGCAAATTTCTGCTCTTCTTTGCGAAGATTGGAAGCTGGACGACGCCTTGCACCAAGTGACTGCGGTGAGGTCGTCTTTGCATGTTCTCCTTTGCCCCCGCCCTGCTCTGCCCAAGAATCACCTGAACAACAAAGGCCAGCAGTTGGGTCGCGACCCCCCCAAGGGTTTGGGTAGAGGTCGGGGTGGCCGGGGGCGGAATGGCAAAGGCCGGGGAGAACGCGGTGACAAAGGAGCGGACTCAGGTGGTAAACGCCACAAGTGGGCTACTACTTTCAATGGTAAGACACTTTGCCTTCGCTTCAGTTCTCGCTCGGGTTGCTCTGATAAGAACTGCAAGTACTTACATCAATGCTGTGTGGTGGACGAGAACAACAACAAGGTTTGTGGTGGCAAGCACCCGGCTTTTGAGCACCCGGGGTCTTCTTGAAACACCCCTACTCAGGGTCAGGGTGAGGCCTTGACTGGGTCGGCGGCTTTGTCACCCGCTAGCGTTGCTTTGCCAGAGAGCAGTTCTTCGAGCGCTTTGGAGGCCGATTCTCCTACTTTGCCTTCTTCGCGAATTTCTCCTTTGCCTGCCTCAGTCGGGCACTCGCCTCCTTGTTCGCAACCTGAGGTGGCATCTTCGTGCGACGGGGCTCCCTCTCTACAGCCTATTTTGGTGGAGCTCGGTCATTCTACTTCTGGATTTTTCGCCGATCCTGCTTTGGCTTCGGGTTTTTCCTACGCTTTCTTTTCCTTTGGCGATTCTTCGGCTTCGGCTTCACTTTGCCATGACGACGCTTTCTCAGCCTTGCTCCGTTGTGCTTTTGCAGGTGTGGTCTCCGTGATGGTGGCCCACATCTTCGATCTGGAGGCCGGGCCCTGGGGCGATCAACTTCTACATCGCCTTTGTCAGTTGCTTTTAGCCACTTTTCTTGGTGGTGGTCACATTTTGCTTTTCATGCATTCGGCCTCTGGTCTTTGGACTCAGCGGGCCACGAGATCTCTTCTTCTGGAGGCACGGGCAGCGCTGACAGTTTTGCCTTTGTGCGGTTTCGGGTCACCCTGTCATGACGAGCTTTTGCTTGCCTCGTCCCTGGAATGCTTTGGGAGCTTGGCTGGCACCTGCCGGCATACCAGCTCGGCTTCTACCTCAGCATGCTCTATTCCACCTGCTTTGTGCCAAGGTATAGTTTCGCTGTTGGGCAGGTCGAACTCACTTTCGGGTTCTCCAACTTTACTTTCTTTGGATGCTTTGGTGGCTTTGCGTCCGGTCAAGCAGGCTCGTGATCTTCCCATTGCGTCGCAGGATGGCGGAGGCATTCATTCCAAGCCTGACTGGTCCGTGCCGCCCTCTTCGGCTTCTAGTGTATTTTCGCAGCTTCGGAAGGATTTCCTTACTTTTATTCTGCAACACGGTCTCCACAGGCGCCTTCGGGACCATGTGGCTGCGGCTTCGGAGTCTCCTTTCTTTTCTGATAAGGAGGTCCTTTCCTTTCGAGGGATCGCCAATCGGTGGTTCTCTGGCCAGGGTTGCCGTGACGATATCAATTGGGACAAGCCTTCGGGCCAGCCCTACTGTCTTCATGCTTTGCATTCCTTGAGTCAGGTGGTCAAGGACGCCGACAAGCATTTATTCTTGGCTTTGCTTGAGGGGGTTCCCACAGGCTATGATGGCGATATTCCCAAGTCTAATGTTTTCACTCAGCGTGACAGTCCCCCCTTCCGATGGTGATCTGTTGCTCTGCTTTGGGAACTGGACGGGGGCCGAGGCCGACCCCACTTTGCTTTGCGAGCTTTTGCAGAAAGAGGTGGATGCTGGATGGTTGGAGACCATTCCTTTGCACGAGGCTCAGGCTCGCTGGGGCTCTCGCCTGGCCGTGGGGCGCCTCAACATCGTTATCGCCCCTGGCAAGAAGCCTCGACTTGTAGTTGACAGCTCGGTGTGTGGTACCAACAGTTGCTGCCAGGTTCCCGAATCGTATGCTTTGCCAGGCTTACAACATGTCCGTTTCAGCTTTCCTTTCAGGATGCACAATGGAGCTTTGGCAGGCTTTTCCTTGGACATTGAGGCGGCGCACAAAACAGTTCGTGTTCGTGATGGGACTTTGCGTTACCTATTTTATCGCGTTTGTCCTTTTGGGGCTGTTTTCAGTGCACATTGGTTTCAGCGAGTCAGTGCCTTTCTGATCCGTATGCTTCACCCTTTCCTTTATGTGCGCCACTCTCTTTTCGTGTACAGTGATGATTTGCTGGGCATCACGGAGCAATCGGTGTTGGAGATCACCTTCGCTTTGGTCCTTGCCTTTTGCGTTTGCTTTGGATACCCCATTTCTTGGAAGAAGCTTCAAATGGGCCCGCGTATCCTTTGGATTGGTTGGAGCTTTGACTTCGGCGCTGGGGGAGTCGAGGTTCCTTCCGATAAAACTTCGAAGTTGCTTGCTGGTCTGCGCGACATCTTGAGGCAGGACAGGGTCGACAAACGCGAGCTCCATCGCGTTATCGGCCTTATCCAGTGGATCCTTCAGCTGTTTCCTTTGCTTAAGCCATGGATGAACACGCTTTACTGTGATTTGCATTCTCCTTTTGGAACAAACTATAGCATGGATCCGGGTGACTTTCCTTCCATTGCTGATTTCTTGGACGACACATTGACTTTTACTTCGCTCATTTCAGGGACTGCAATCCCCTTGGGGTCCAAGCTTCTTTCGGTTCGACACGTCGACATTAAGCGCAAACGTGATCTTGCTCAGGTGCCTTTGACGTCGAAGCGTCTGTGGCTCCGCGTGGCTGCCAGCAGTCGGCGGCGTCTTTCGCCGGCCTCCAAGCAGTTCTTGCTTTACTGGAAGCATTGGGCCGAGGACCCTCCTCTTCTTCGCCCTCTGCAGATTCCTTTGGCATCACCTGTGGAGGCGGCGGCTGACGCCATGGCCTCCTCCAACAAGTTTGCGATTGGTGGGTACGTCCAGATGCCTAGTGGTAACCTTCTTTGGTTTTCGCAGTCTTGGGTCATGGCCGATTTGCAGTTCACGAAATTGGATCTTAGCGATGATGCCCAGGCCTACATCGCTTCTTTTGAAACCCTGGCCCAGATTGCTTTGCTGCACTGCGCGTCGGCCATGATTCCTTTTGGTCGATTCCTTTTGGTCGTCTGCGCGTTAGGATCAAATCCTGGTGTGATAATGCCGGTGCTGAAAGCGTGTCCAATAAACTTTATACCCGCAAGTATCCGCTTTGCATTTTTGCACAACGACTGGCGCTTTTCAGCGCGTATTCGTCGATGTCTTTGGACGTTTCTCATATACCTGGCGAATACAACAAGGATGCTGATATGCTCTCCCGCATCGAGGACTTTTCGGAGCTGCCTGCCAGGTTTCCTTTGAATACGCGTCTGGTTCTGGACCTGGAGCAGCTTTGGTTTCGCCGGTCTGCGGTTTCCTTGACTCCGCCTGACTTTCCACTGCGCTGGAAGATACCTGTGAATGAGTTCTTTCGATGAGCTTTACGGCCTCTCCCACTTTGCGGAGATATGCCAATGCTTTACGGCCTGTCATTTCTTGAGACATGCCAGCTTCGCGGCCCTTTCGTGGCCCCAATTGCTGAGCCGTGAATGGCCTGAGGCAGCGTGCGCAAACCTCACAGTTCTATTGGGGGTTGTTTCACTTGGGCGAGGTTTACTTTGAGTCTGGCAGTACTTTATGGGGTAGTTCGAAAGCTCAGCTTGCTATGCTTGGCATAGACCGCATTCGCTTTTGCTTCCACCAGACTCAAAACAACCTCTCGCTTCAGCAGTGCTCCTGTAGCTCAGCTTTGCTTAGCTTGCTTGCCTTCTAGAGTAGAGGCTTGGCTGTTGTAACAAAGTAGAACTGCCAAAATTCGAAAGGAAAGGTGTGCCTGGGTTTGCAAGGGCTGATAACAGCCTTTCGATCCAAAAACCTCCTCCAAGGAAAGAACCGGAAGGCCCAAACCAAAACCTCAACTCCTTGCAAACCCCCACTGCTACCCTTCACTGTTGGGCCTTGTCGCTTGGGCGAGCGGCTGCGACCCTTAAGGCTGTCCGGCATTTCCGAGTCTTTTACCTCAGAAATGGTCTCCGCGGGAGGGGGCTGTGAAAGTCCCGGCGGTGGCTCATTCTGAACAACCTCAAGTCCCAAGGGCTGCAAGACCGAGTCCACACTGGATTGCTGAATTGTCTGCATTGGTGAAGGAAGAAGTTGCTGCTACAAGAGATGATGAAGATAAAGAAAAGAAGCAGCAAGAAAACGAAGCAGCAGAAGAGGAAAAGATCCCGGTCGAAGCTGCACCGGTGGAAGTTGCTGCAGAAGTTCAGGCTGCAGAAGCTCAGGTAGAAGATAAAGAAAAGAAGCAGTAAGAAGACGCAGCAGAAGAGGAAAAGATCCCGGCCGAAAAGCCAAAGCAGAAGGATTTCGGTCCAGAAGTGGAGACGTTGTACTCTTTGGCTCAGGCCAGAGAGTACGATGACTGGTTGTCTGTCAATTTCGATATGCTTAACGACCAAGGGCTAAAGCAGGAAATGCTGTCGTTCCTGGAGTTAATCCAAGAGCCTCTTGCAAGATGGAAGGACGGCGATGCCGTTAACTTGGAGTCGCGTTTAGCCGACATGAAGGCTAGCCAAAAGATTTTCGAAGAGGACCTCGATAGACAAGAAGCCGAGGTAGCAGCAAAGCATGTGCAGATCCTGAAGCTACAGCAGCAAATGGATCAAGCACGAGCAGAGCTCGAAAAGAATGAAGCTGTTATCTTGGAGCTAAAGGAGCAAAGGGTTCAACTGGACGGGCAGGAAGCTGCCACAAAGATAGCGATCGAAATGTTAGACGACGTTATCGACTCAATGTCGATAATATGTGAAAGCCATGATGTTTAAGATCGAAAAGAAGGAGCCCGAGAAGCGGTTTAGTGCCGACATGCTTTTCAAGAAGAAAAGGGAGAAGATGGAGCAAAGTGACATCGAAAGTGTCAAGGCAGAAGAGGATAAGACGAAGAGGGGAACTGCTACCCCAAAGATCGCTCCGGATGTTTTGAAGAAGAATGAAGTAGGAGATGGAAAGCAGCGGCCGACTGAACCGAAAGGGCCGCCTCCCAAGCGAGCTAAAACTGATGAAGGCCAAAGCTCGGGTTCCCACTTCAAGTGGGAAGACAGAAGCGAAAAGAGCGGGCGCTCCTGGTGGGAGCAAGACAGCCGTGGAGCAAACGGGCAGTGCTTCCACTGTCTGAAGTGGGGTCACAGCGCAAAGTCATGCCCCACTATGTTAAAAGAAGCAAGAGAGGATGGGTTCCCCATCCCCTCGCAAAGTGTTATCGACAAGCTGCGTATCCCCATGTACTGCAGATTCTGCGCGAAGGCGCGCACCCGCTCAGAGCGTTTTCCCTTTCCAGGTTGGGGAACGCACGTGTACCAAAAGTGCTACTACAACCTGGATAGCGAACAAAGCAAGGGCTCCAAAGAGGAGCCAACGAAAGAAGTCCCTGTTAAAGCGTCGCCTGCGAAGCGACCGAAGTATCAGGAAGTATCTTCGGTTACAGCTGTTGATGTAAGTGAAGAAGAGAAGAACAAGCCGAAGAAGAAGGAAGAAAGCCCAGAGCGCAAGGAGAAGGAGGAAAAGCCGGAGAAGAAGAAGGATGACAAGGAGAAGAAGGACGATCGTAAGGAGAAGAGGCACAAGAAAGAAAAGAAGCGATCGTCGAGCAAGCCAAAGAAAGGAAAGAAAGAGAAAAAGGAAAAGAAAGAGAAGAAAGGCGAAAGAGCAGAGTCGTCCCACCGCGACCGCGTGGACGAAAGAGATCTTTAACAGATCCAAGCAGCCAGCGCAAGCTGACGACTGGGACACCGCCAGTATATAAACCCGGGTGTATGAAAAGAGCTGAAGCCAAATGGCTGGGGCAGTACTCACAGCACCACGAGCACTACGATGTACAGAAAAGAGAACGAGAAAAGTTCGTTCACAAGTTTCTGTTGAGGAGTAGAAAGTAGTTGGCGTAGTTGGTAGAATTGTTTAAATGGCATGGTTATGTATGTGAGAAAGGTGGAAAGTATGGTCGCTAAGAAACTTGGTGAAGTGAACGTACGAGAAAAGCCGAAAGCTACGGAAGCTGAAGGCTCAGTGGTCACGAAATCCACTACAAGCGCTTACAAGGATGCAAAGCTACAAGGCTGAACAGAAAGCCGTCGCCAGAGCACCCGGGAGAAAACGAAGCCGGTGCGAAGTTAGTGTGATGGAAAATCCAAAGGATGATCCAGGCGACATTGGATGTCGCGTCTACTTGTTCAGGACGAACATCGCTTCGTCAACAAGTACTACACCACTACAGCGAGATTAACCACAACAAGTTGAACGGTTAAAGTGGTGAAGTTAAAGGAGCATGCGAGAAACGCGAGTCGTGAAGCAGACTGGTGAGGTGTTACCAAGCTCCAAAGAAGTGAAGTGGAAAAGTTTGGTCGGATGAAAGGTAAGACACCTTTGATCCGAGGAGGCATAACAAACATGTCATTTTCCACCGCACGTTGTTTTCCTGGTTGTCTCACTTCGGTGACCGCAGGTTTTGACTAGGCTCAAGCGAACTGAAAAAAGTCGGGACCGCGTGTGCTAAAGGTTGGAAGCTTAAGGTTTGGCTTAAAACTTTCAGAGCTGCAGTCGTCTTTCCGGCAAGCCGAAACAAAAAGCTGAGTGAGAGTGTTCTTTGTCCAGCCTGCTTTGTCTCTCACGAGTACTCGCTTTGCTTACACACTAGACTCTCTAGACAGCCATAGCCTTTGTTGTTGCGTGGTGTAACGCTTTCCTGAAGAGAGAGAGACAGACATAGAGAGACAGAGACAGAGACAGAAACAGAGACAGAGAGACAGAGAGACAGAGAGCCAGAGAGACAGAGAGACAGAGAGACAGAGAGACAGAGAGAGGGAGAGAGGGAGAGAGGGAGAGAGGGAGAGAGGGAGACAGAGAGAGAGAGACAGACAGAGATAGAGAGACAGAGAGAGGGAGACAGAGACAGAGAGCCAGAGAGCGGGAGCCAGAGAGAGAGACAGACAGAGACAGAGATCGATAGATCTTGGAGAGAAGAGGGTGTTAAGCCATGCGTGCTTGTCGTCATAATAATTAGAGCGGTTGTTGCCAAGACCGCGGCTACTAGGTTACCAGATACTATTACTTCTGCTGCTAGCTCTACGTCCACTGCTACGTCTTGCACTTGTTCCCCAGCAACTACGGCTTTCGAAGCTGCCAAGAGGTATTTGGAAGACCCCGGTACCGAAAGACCTGCACGTCGGCTTCGATGCCATGCAGAAGTCGGTCGGCTCCTGAGTTTTCTGGTGGAATCTTGGAATGGGCCCCGAGTTGGTGGGGTATCCACACCAAAGCCGGAGCTATGCGCACACGAGGAAGGTATTATTTGTACCCGAAATAACTCGCCTGGCAGTTGTAATGCCCGCAACGCTTCAAGCAAGAAGCTTTCCGGAGCATGACAGTCGTTTTGGTCAAGTTGGCATGCATAGACAGGCCAGCGAAAAGACTAAGAGCAGCTTGCTTGGTGTTGGCCTAGGTTTGCAAAAGTTGATGATCAGTCTGCATGTCTAGATTCTTGGATAGTCTTGGCACTTCTGGGTTGCTGTCAGGGTGCGATGTTTAAGAAATCGACGTCCATGTGCACACCATGACAACGGTGATGCTGATGATGATGGTGCTGAGGGGATGGGGGTACGGCTCGGATAAGGATGAGGACAAGGATGAGTATGATGGTGATAGTCCTGATGATGCTTGTGATGTTCAAGAGGGCGAGAGGATGAAGATAAGGCTGAGCACGATGGCGATGGTCATGATGATGTTCTTGATCTTGATTGTGATGATGATGATGATGATGGCGGCGGTGGTGGTGGTCGTGGTGGTGGTGATGATGATGATGATGGTGGCGGTGGTGCTCATGATGATGATTGTTATTATTATGACTATTTATTATGTTGATGTTGGTGAGGAAGATGATGATGGTGGTGGTGGTTGTGGTGGTGATGGTGCTGATGGTGCTGATGCTGATGGCCATGGTGACCTCATGGCCATGGTCATGATCATGGTTTGTTGGCGCTGGTACTGACGGTGGCGGTTGTGGTGATGCTGATGCCGACGGTGACGGTGACAGTGGTGATCGTGGTGATGGTGACGGTGGCGTTGATGGTGAGGATGACGATCGCGGGTGCCCCGTGTGGCAATAGATCAGGGTGATAGTGAAAATTGTGATGTTCGTGGCTTCATCATGTATTGTTAAATCTGGTTGTGCCTTCGTCATTGTTGTGATTCCAAGCTTTGGTTCCTGCAGAGATGAAGCATGGTGTCACTAGGGCCCCTGTACTACCAGCACACAGTCAGCACCACAACGCTGAGCCCTATGATTTCCACAACAAGGGGGTGGATAAGACCAGGTTTGGGCACAAGCCAAGTGATGCTGAGCCTGCTCCTGCTGTTTAACGATTATGAGGAACTCGAGGGGC